TTGGAAAATGTTTTTTTCGGCATAACTTAAGCTTTGATAAATGACTTCTGAAAAGAAAACCATATCATGTTGGATTTTTATGAGAAAGAAATGATACAGTTGAAATAAGCATTGTATCATTCGCAACAGTGATTTGAGCGTAAAAAAACAAGAGGCTAGACTCGGATTCATGCCTATTAACACGTCCAAAATATGGGATAATGGTAAGTTGCACTGTGCTGCTGAAAGTTGCTACCTGGCAAAAGTAGCACGAAGGACCGATGAGATTGGATCATGTCCGTAATGAAAAAGTACATCTTTACTGATACACTATTTGATTATTTAAATCTGAAGGACGAAAAACGTTAACATGACAATACATTATGTATATTTTGAGTGTATTTGTAAGAATTCGATTTAAACATTAATATGCATCGATGAAAGGTTTAATTCATATGATGAAGACAACGATACTTAACAAGCTGAATCCAATTTGACCTTTTTTTGGTCAGATGAATTCAGGAATATCTAAATACTATTATGTTAATAGTAGGTTGGCAGTTGTTCTTTGCGATCTTAGTAATAAAATGATTCAGGAGAATTGCACTTCTTGAATAAATCAACGACTTTTGAATATCCAAAAGACCTAGAGTTATGCTGTTTGACTTGCAGCTTCTCCGATGTACAGCTATCAATTTTGTTCAAATAATTTCCATGATCCATTTGCATGTGTTGATTTTTTATACGGCTTAATAATGATCCAGATTATTAGGGTCTGGATAGTTAACCTGTGGTTTTTTTATGGGATGATATTTGTTCAGATGAATAACATTGACTCATATTCAAAATCAAAGGGGTCAAATTTATTGAAGTATTTTTATTTGTTTATAAATTCATTTCATTTCGCCACTTTTTAAATGCCACAGGGTTCAAATGTTTAACAAAAATCGATGATATTTAAGTAAGAGAGTATGAACATTAATATTAAATTGTTATGTTAAATGACTACTTGCTATCGAAACAGTTTTGAAAAGGGATGAACATATAGTTGCCAATTCCAGAAAGATTTTTTTACCGATTTTCTTTTCACATATCTAGTGGAATATCATGCTAATATTGGAGAGAGTCGTTCTATCGTTTTGAGAAATGTTCTGTAAAAATAAAGCTAGTCGATATCTCTTAATGTAACGAGACATGGAAACATTAAAAACCTCAGCTCGTCACCATCTTTATGTAATATATATGATATAACCCAAGTTCAGTCTATACAAATGCTGTGTCAGATTTTACTTTACATGGTGTGAAAAGTCAACCTCTGACGAAATACTCAATAACTGCCGTGTTACTACTGTCCAAATAAAACAAAGACTTGTCTGAGAACAAGACTAAAACACTGACAGGTCAGTAAGGGCCCCGTCTTGTGGCAATATATCCCCCATAATCATCAAGAAGCAATCTGCCCATATACATGTAGTTGAGCTTGACGTTTGACATTTGGACTCCAAAAAGAATCACATGGAAGCAAAATATACATGTTACATTTACTGTGATGTGAGTCTTGTTTCCTTTCACCTCCATATTTGCTGGGCTAACAGAAATGAAAATACCGGTGCAATATTAATTTGTTAGCTTTGATTTGTTTTATTTCACCTTATTTACCTCCTCCACCAAGAGCCAGAGTCAAAGTCAGAGATCCACATTGCCTTTGACCTTTGGACCCAAAAGACCTTGACCATTAACCCAGTGACCCTGATCTTTGGTCAGTTGACTTATTCTTTAATTCCGACCAATTTTGCTTCTTAATATCCCAACAAAATGTTCATCGGTGAAAAATACAAAACTTGACCTTGACCCTTTGGACACCGTAGCCTGGATCTAAGGTCAGTTGACTGTGTGTAAAGTTTTGAACAACATTGCTTCATAATGTCATAACAAAATTTTCAACAGGGAAAAAGTACAAAATTGAACTTTCACCTTTAACCCAGTGACCTTGACCTTTGGTCAATTGACTCCTTGTTTAATTCTGAGCAACATTGCTTCAAAGTGTCATAGGGAAATGTTCACCAGTGAAATGATACAAAATTTAACCTTGACCTTTGACCCAATGACCTTGATCTTTGGTCAATTGAAAACAGAGGCAAGCCCAAGAGTCTGCAACTCTGCTTCCAATTTGATTGGAGAAATTCCTTTAGGTTCTAGTGACATGGCTTGTGGACATGTACATGCATGCAGAGATAGTTGTGCTACATGGTTTTGAAGCTGGTCCAAATTGATAATGCGATAGCCAGGTCTGTTAAAGGAGTTGCCTTTGTTCAGCTGAAACTGTAAACCATCACCAGCTTCTCTCGCCATTCTGTATATGACTGGGGTTTCCGGTTTGGATGGTAGAGGTCGTCGAATAGCTTTTACATCTCTTTTTCTCATTATCAGAGTTTTGTTTGGAGCTCGTGAAACAGAAGTGTTGTAAGTACATGTAGTTTCGGCACTAACTGATAGACTGATCACCTTCGACTTGTACTCATACACATGTCTTCGTACACGTTTACCCTGATTACTCCTTCTTTTTCTTCGGTGCCGGCGGCCACCACCCATTCCAAACCTATAACTGGTAGTCATCTTAACTTGCTAAAGTGATATATATCAGCTAGTTCAGGCGTATATAGATGATTAATAATGAAACAGTTGGTATGCTTGGTAACAGGTAGCACACGGTCATCCACGTCCCTCCATACTATCATTTAAGCATTGACTTTTTTTCGATTTTTTTTTTCATCGGGGTATGAAAAGAATTTTTATTGCAAACTGTATGAATCCGCGTATTCAAATCACATATGAAACATTAAAATCTGTGTTAAATGGATCTTATTAATATTTTTACGCCACACCTTTACAACAACCAGAAATTTTGCCCATCTATTTTATTGGGGGGGGG